ATAAAGTCTGCTGCAGTTTCCACGGTATACATCTGATGAAGTGAGCTGTAGCTCACGAAAGCTCATGCTCAAATAAATTGGTTAGTCTCTAAGGTGCCACAAGTACTCCTTTTCTTTTTAGTGAAATCCTTGCTGCTCTTAAACACAAAAAAGAAGCTTACAAGAAGTGGAAAGTTTGACAAATGACCAGGGAGGAGTATAAAAATATTGCTCAGGCATGCAGGAGTTAAATCAGGAAGGCCAAATCCCACCTGGAGTTGCAGCTAGCAAGAGATGTTAAGAGTAACAAGAAGGGTGTCTTCAGGTATGTTATCAACAAGAAGAAAGTCAAGGAAAGTGTGGGCCTCTTAGTGAATGAGGGAGGCAACCTAGTGACAGAGGATGTGGAAAAAGCTAATGTACTCAATGCTTTTTTTGCCTCTGTCTTCACAAACAAGGTCAGCTCCCAGACTACTGCACTGGGCAGCACAGCATGGGGAAGAGGTGACCAGCCCTCTGTGGAGAAAGAAATGGTTTGGGACTATTTGGAAAAGCTGGACAACCACAAGTCCATGGGGCCAGATGCACTGCATCAGAGTGCTAAAGGAGTTGGTGGATGTGACTGCAGAGCCATAGGCCATTATCTTTGAAAACTCATGGTGATCAGGGGAGGTCCTGAACGACTGGAAAAAGGCTAATATAGTGCCCATCTTTTAAAAAGGGAAGGAGGAGGATCCGGGGAAATCCCCTCAGCCCCTGGAAAAATCACGGAGCAGGTCCTCAAAGAATCAATTCTGAAGCACTTAGAGGAAAGTGATCAGGAACAGTCAGCATGGATTCATCAAGGGCAAGTCATGCCTGACTAATCTAATTGCCTTCTATGACGAGATAACTGGCTCTGTGGATGAGGGGAAAGCAGTGGACGTGTTATTCCTTGTCTTTAGCAAAGCTTTTGACATGGTCTCCAACAGTATTCTTGCCAGCAAGTTAAAGAAGTATGGGCTGGATGAATGGACTATAAGCTGGATAGAAAGCTGGCTAGATTGTTGGGCTCAACAGGTAGTGATCAATGGCTCCATGTCTATTTGGCAGTCAGTATCAAGCGGAGTGCCCCAAGGGTAGGTCTTGGGGCCAGTTTTGTTCAATATCTTCATTAATGATCTGGAGGATGGCGTGGATTGCACCCTCAGCAAGTTTGCAGATGACACTAAACTGGGAGGAGAGGTAGATATGCTGGAGGGTAGGGATAGGATACAGAGGGACTTAGACAAATTAGAGGATTGGGCCAAAGGAAATCTGATGAGGTTCAACAAGGACAAGTGTAGAGTCCTCCACTTAGGACAGAAGAATCACATGCACAGCTACAGACTAGGGACCAAATGGCTCGGCAGCAGTTCTGCAGAAAAGGACCTAGGGGTTACAGTGGACGAGAAGCTGGATATGAGTCAACAGTGTGCCCTTGTTGCCAAGAAGGCCAATGGCATTTTGGGATGTATAAGTAGGGGCATTGCCAGCAGATCGAGGGATGTGATCATTCCCCTCTATTTTACATTGGTGAGGCCTCATCTGGAGTACTGTGTCCAGTTTTGGGCCCCACACTACAAGAAGGATGTGGAGAAATTGGAAAGTGCCCAGCAGAGGGCAACAAAGATGATTAGGGGACTGGAACACATGACTTATGAGGAAAGGCCGAGGGAACTGGGATTGTTTAGTCTGCAGAAGAAAAGAATGTGGGGGGATTTGATAGCTGCTTTCAACTACCTGAAAGGGGGTTCCAAAGACAATGGATCTAGACTGTTCTCAGTGGTAGCAGATGACAGAACAAGGAGTAATGGTCTCAAGTTGCAGTGGGGGAGGTCTAGGTTGGATAGTAGGAAAAACTTTTTCACTAGGAGGGTGGTGAAGCACTGGAATGTGTTACCTGGGGTGGGGTGGAATCTCCTTCCTTTGAGGTTTTTAAGTTCAGGCTTGACAAAGACCTGACTGGGATGATTGAGTTGGTGATTGGTCCTGCTTTGAGCAGGGGGTTGGACTAGATGACCTCCTGAGGTCCCTTCCAACCCTGATAGTCTATGATTCTATGAACCAAATTTTCTAGTTTAGGCCAGTCCTGAGATCTGGGGGAGATGGACTTGGGTGTAATCTTCATTGAGTTGAATGGGGTAGTTCAGGCCCTTCAGGGCTAGTGTTTCAGCCTATATTCATCAGCATGGCGTGTTCACATTCAACTGAAGGATGAAAAAGCCACTTCCCACCTCTGTAACCTCCCACACCGCAGAATGCCTTTGTACGTTCTTCACAGGCCATTAGCTTTCACTTTCCTCTCTAATCCTTGCGGAAGGCAGATGCAGTAACTGAATGGTGGCAAAGTATACTTGAGAACCCTTCTCAATCATGGCCCCCTCCCTTCCTCAGAAAACAAAGGAAATTCATGGACAAACTTTAACACAGAGTTAAGATTGTCTCTCTTCTGTGTTCTGGAAAGACACAAGGCAGGGGTAGACAAACAAACCTCTGGAAGTCAGGAAAGTTAAAGTTAACATCTCACACCTAATAGTCCCACACAACCTTAACTCTGCCAGTAGGCAGAGGGGACCAAACCAAACCTGATCTATCCCTAACAATTTAGCATTGTCTTCGTTTATCCCCAACAATTTCTAGATCATCCCTCTTTATATACTTTCAAAGACCCCCATGTTACCTATAGCAATACTGAGCCAGGGCTAGTTAGAGCAACTTGACAAATTCACACTGCTCTCTTGAGATGCAGCTACAGCTAGAACAGGGGTTCTCAAACTGGGGGTTGGGATCCCTCAAGGGGTCACAAGGCTATTGTATGTTTTTAATTTGGGGGTGGGATATCACACTCAGAATCTTGCTATGTGAAAGGGGTCACCAGTAAAAAAAGTGTGAGAACCACTGAGCTAGCAGAAGCTGGGTTCCCTATTTTCTGGACTGTTATGGAGCTGTAAAACCAAGAAAGGGCTTCTAGAATAGCTGCAACTGCCATCTCCAGAGGCTGATATTCCACTATGGCTATGAAAAAGACAGGAATGAGTCCTTTGCCCTACTCTAATGAGGCACAGCCTCAATGAAACAAAAGTTTTGGGAGAAGAAACAAGAGTTTTGAGATTGGTAACTTAAGCACTCATGTTTCCACACCCTTGCTTCCTACCTGCAGCACTCAGTAATCTCTACCCCTTTCCTCTTCCCTAAAAGAATCCCAAGCCACACCACAGCATCCCTGCACTCAACTATATTTATACATTGTGTTCTCTCTCATGCACGGTGTAGTATTATAAATACTACAGTAAGAATGGTGACTTGCAAACCACTAGCTACCTTATCAGAATGAGGAACTGAATTAACAAGGCTGGGATTTGAACCAGAGGCTGATTTGACACACACACTCTGTGCAAACCGCCCCCATAAACTACAGTGATCAGTGTTGCGTATTTCTAAGAAATAATTTTAAAAAGCCAAACACAAAGTCACAGTTCAAACTCCACCTATGTCTAGTGTTTTAAAACATTCCAGAGAGTCTAAATATGTGATGTTATGTTGAACACACAAAATAGTAGTGGATAAAATTCTGATCCTATTGAAGTCAGTGGAATGTTTATAATTGATTTCAATAGGGCCAGTATTTCACCCATTTTCTTATTTATTGGTATATCAATCCACAGTCCAACTTTGGGAAGTCAGTGTCATAACTAAGTCAAGGCCAAATTTGGCCCTTAATACTCTGTACATTTGCATATTTATTCTTATTACCAATTCATCATACAATAAGGTTTTTCAACATATTAATTACACCAAGGTATGTCTCAGAAAAATGTAGGCTTGAGATAGCATTTGTATAAATATACCTTGATCTTTCATGATTTCCTAGAGTTTTGAAATCTGAAATGCTAGTAGGGTACAGCAATCAGCTTGTCATCACATTTTATGTATTTTTAAAAGCACAGCACCTACAAGATTGATGAAGATTTTGGTTTTAGAAAGATATGGATATTGCCGTTTAGATTTAAATGAACTACAATGGTATAAATAACCCAAAATATTAAGATTAAAAGAAAGGGAGAGAACTACTTTTTAATTAAAATTAGCACTGTATTATAACAAAACTTGACAAATGTCACTATAATCAAATCTAATTTGCTTCTTGGCATTTCTGCTAAGAACGAACAATAGCATAAGCCTTCTGAGGAAAGGAAGTTAGAATAGGAATTTGAAGAACCATTAAATTGAACAGGGAAATCAGGAAGCAGGTCCTATTTCTCAGGACCTATAGGGATATAAATGATCAGTTAAAGCAAGTTACTTGTTCCTCTTTTGGAATTTCAAAGATCTTCTTCCCTCTCCCTACCGTTATCAACTTTACTATAGTCCCACTGGGACTATTTCAGTTTTTAGTATTGTGAAAGCACCAAAAAAGATTGACAGAAGGAGGAGTAAAATGTTAAACAGTTTTAAATATCTAGCAAAGGCTTTGTAGTTTGCCTTAAAAATGGGCATCTGTACAAGACAAGCCAGCCAAAATACAAAGCCTCAGTCAAAATAAGACTTTAGCCATAAAACTGTAACACTCTCTAATGAGTCCTTGCATACCATATTTTAGCTGCAACAGATTTTTAAAAACAATACCTGAAGAAGTAACATGTTAATATGAACATCCACTACTGGACTCTAGACACTGAAGTGACAACCTGTGCTATTTTAACTAAGAAGGCACTAGCTACCACAATAGAGCATTGCTACCTCTATTAAAAAAGGCACTTAAATAATCTGGAATTCTGATATTTGGCCACTTGAACTAATCACTTGTTAGCATTAATGATGAGACTGTAATCATGATACAGTTATTTCTCTTTTACACTAGATTTTAAATAAATATTCTTCACTTTAAATAACTTGGGGTTTGTTTACTAGAGCAGTAAATATATCAAACTATTTGCTTGTTCCACCGAATTACACAAAAGATGTATGTAACTATCCAACAACTATCCATCCCTTTGCAGTTAGTTTCAATGTACTGAAACAGCATTAGTTGCTCTTTCACTTTTATTAAGTTCACTTACATTGACCAAATAAGTATCACTAAAGTAGAGAGTATATAAAATAAGAGTGATTCAATGGCTTCCGGTGCTCCATAAAAACCAAGTACTTAATTCAGCTATAAAACTTTAGAAATGACTTTAGATACAAAAAGTACAGTACACAGAACATCCGTTTATAGATCACTAAGGAAACTTTTGCACCATTGAGACAGCCATAAGTTCTGAACCTGTTTTTTTGTTTTTTTTTTTGCATCCTTGGTCAAAGCTTCAGTCAGTTGAAATTGGGAACACTTGGGATTCAAGATACCCTGAGCACATACTAGTGCAACATCACAAAAAACATAACATAATCCAATGAATTAGAAAAAAAAATGAAGCAAGAGTCAGATGGTGCTTTATTATACAAGCATGACAGCAAGTTCCTTTGGAAAATAACTTCTTGGGTGGACTTCCAGATCAGTGAGGTAGTCCCATGGGAGAGAATGGAAGGGAGGAGACCTTAGTCCCTACTTGAGATGCCTGCCAAATAGTTTCTCAGTTTGGAGCATAAATACGATGGGTGAGGACCATGGCCCCTACTAGGGAACATAGCGAAACAGCCTCTCAGTCCAGGTGAGGGTGGTAGTCGCAGCTGGTGACAGGGGCCAGGCAGGTTCTCAATCTGGGTTTGGGTGGGCAGGAACCTGGCTCTGTGGAGGAAATGGTCCCATCAGTCTGAGCCATAAAGTGCAGTAGAAGAACACGATCCAGACAAATGCGATGTAAACAGGTGACTGACACTTATCTCTGTTCGCTTCTTCCAGGGGAAAAAGCATCTCCCCCCCGCCCCAGATGTCCCCGTTCCCAGGCGGGGCAGCAGCTCACGATCTGGCTACGGGGAAGCGGCGGATCCTCACCACGGGCGCCAGGTCCACTTGGAGGATCCGCTGCGCCTGGCGCCGCGCCGCCTCCAGGCTCCGCGGCTTCCAGACGCTGCCCCGCACCTTGATGGTGGGGAAGGTGGTGAGACTGGGGGTGGCCGCTTTCCAGATCTCCTCCAAGGACCGGCCCGCAAAGGGAGCACACGAGGGCACCTCGGCCGAGCCGACCTGCTCCTCCTCGTCCTCCTCCCGCGGCCGCTGCGCTTCCCTGCCGGGGGGACCGGCGAGCGCTGGGGCGCGTTTCCTCCCCTTCTTTGCGCGGCCCGGCGCTCCGCGCTTGGCGCCGGCGGCCAGGGGGCGCCTCCTGGCCGCTCCGCGGCGGGTCCGGTGTCCCGGCGCCGGGAGCCGGTCGGGCACCACGGCCCGGCAGGAGGCGTAGCCGTACACGTCCTTGCTGCGCAGGATGACCGGGGAGAACTGGTGCTTGAGGCTGCAGAGGAAGTTCCACAGCTCCGAGTCCGAGCTCATGAACTCGGTGGAGCGGGGCATGAAGAGCTTGAAGGCGTCGCCCAGCGCCTTGGTGCCGGCGAAGGACACCTGCGACCGGGAGTAGACAACTTTCTCCGCCTCGCCCTCCTCGCCCCACGCCGCCGCGCCAAGCCCGGCAGCAGCTCCCCGGCCGGCTCCCTCCTGCTTCATCCTCCCAGCTCCTCGCTCCAGCGCCGCCTACCTCCGACTGCAGGGCGCAACGGCCGCAGAGTGAAGGCTGCTGGCCTCAGCGCCGGCCCCACCACGCCGCTCGCTCGCCTGTCTCCTGCCGCCGCTGCTGAGCCGCCACAGCCGTACGCGCTCCTTTGCCTGTCTCTCCTCCTCCCAGGGCGGAGAGCAGCGATCAATATCCTACCGCCCGGCTGGAGTGCCCCTCCCCATTCGCTCCCTTCAGGCACAAGGGCCAGCGTGGCTATTACTGAGCGTGCGCGGATAAGCTGCGCGTGCTCAGTAACAGCCACTGAAGCCGTTCGCTGCCCTCACTCTGCCCTTACTTGGGGAGGAGGCGAGAGAGTGTGCCGGCTGTGAAAGCCGAGGGGGGAGGGGTGGGCAGAATGTGTGCAGGGGCAAACTGAGTGCACTGGAGGCATGGGAAAGAGAGGGTGGGAGCCGAGATTTGGAAGGGGTAAATGTTAGCACAGCAGAGGTGAGCAGCTGTTTGGAAAGGTGGGGGACAGAGGGGCTCCCTGCTCCTTCTGCACAGAAAGGAAATCTCCACACCCGGCCTACAGCCACACTCAGGGAGGCCACTCATCCAGTTTTGTACTGGAGGGTCTGGCTTTTTGGCTGGTTTGTCCCCTGTCCTGTACTGGGACAAAACCACATCCAGTTCTGTGTGGTATCAAACAGGGGACACCATTTTGAAGCGCACGCTGCTCTGCTCCCGCCTGCACAACCTCACACGCTGCATGCCTGGGCAGGGCAGGGCCCTTTTGAAAATGTTGTCCCTCAGCGGCATGACTTTGCACACACCACATATGTGAGCTCATGTCCGTGGGGGCAGGGCAGCTGGCTCTTGAAAATGGTGTCCTTGGTGATATGACCTCGCACACATTGTGCATGCCAGTGAGGGAGGGGCAACTTGCTGTTGAAAATGGTGTCCCCTGTGCAGCGTGACTGGCACACACCATACATGTGAGATCACACCAGTGGGGGCAAAAGAAGCTCACTCTTGAAAATAGTGTCTCCTTTGCAGCATAACTTCGTCATGATGGCAGGGGCAGGGTCATGCAGACAGGGGTGGAGTCACACAAGCAGGGTCAGGCCTATGCTGTTTTGGGAAGTGCCAGAATGTCCAGTATTCTAGGAACAGTTAGTGGGAACCTTACACACAGTACCTAGCCAAAGCTGCTTTTCCCTATCGGAAATGAGGGTTGAACTGCTAAAGGAGACAGGATTCAGTTAAATATTTTATTCACATAACTCCTAATATATATATATATATATATATATATATTTTTTTTTAGTGTTTAAAAGAATCCCTTATCTGTTTATATGTCTGCATAAAGCCTCATACAGTAATTCACAGATTTGTCTTATGTGCTATTCTGATTTCCTAAATTGGACTCCCTTGCTTGTAAACCCCTATAAATATAGTTTCACTCCTTTTAATTATTTATTTTAAAATATTTTTATTATTCTTAGTACTTCATCATTTACCTTGTTAACATTATACAGCTGGATGTCACTGTGCTCTTGATATTTTTAATGGCAAATAATTATTGGAAATAATAATTGCTTGTAACTTCAGCAATCACATCTCACTTAATAGGCAGCAGGTTTAACACAAACAAAAAGGAAGTATTTCTTCACACAACTCACAGTCAACCTGTGGAACTCCTTGCCAGAAGATGTTGTGAAGGCCAAGACTACAACAGGGTTCAAAAACGAACTAGATAAATTCATGGAGGATAAGTCCATCAATGGCTATTAGCCAGGATGGGCAGGGGTGGTGTCCCTAGCCTCTGTTTGCCAGAAGCTTGGAATGGGTGACAGGGAATGTATCACTTGATGATACCTGTTCTATTCATTCCCTCTGGGGCACCTGCCATTGGTCACTGTGGGAAGACAGGATATTGGGCTAGATGGACCTTTGGTCTGACCCAGTATGGCCAGTCTTATGTTCACACTATAGCACTTCTGTGACAGCGGGACATCCCACTACCATCTTCTGCTCTGTCTACACACTTAGACTCAGAGACTTTCCGTTGTTAAACACCACAGTGCAGTTTTCTTTACACTTTCTCTTCCCACCACCTTACTAATGCGTAGACTGTATTTAGTTACAGTTTCATTTTCTCCTCAGTTCTGTGCAGAAGAGGGGGAAGAGATCTCTCTACCCAGAGATCCATCCTGGTTCCGGCTCTGCCAGTTTCCCCCTCTCTCCTGCACCTCCTTCCTGTGTCTTCTTATACCTCCTGTGTTACTGGGCCAGTTTGCTCATTAGTACCCCCCTCCCCAAGCCCATTCTAATCTATTAATTTGGCCCCAACATTTCCACTTTGGGGGAATTAAAGGTATTTAAAAAAAAAGGAGTACTTGTGGCACCTTAGAGACTAACCAATTTATTTGAGCATAAGCTTTCGTGAGCTACAGCTCACTGCATCCGATGAAGTGAGCTGTAGCTCACGAAAGCTTATGCTCAAATAAATTGGTTAGTCTCTAAGGTGCCACAAGTACTCCTTTTCTTTTTGCGAATACAGACTAACACGGCTGTTACTCTGAAAGGTATTTAAGTGACCAGAGTGCTGGCTCAGTTGTTGGTTCCCAGCACCCATTTCCCAGGACTTCAATAGGTGTTGCTTCCCAGCATTCTGTCAAAATGGCCCAAGTTTTTATTTTGATTTTGTAATTTGCAGTTTGCACCATGCAATCTTCTGGATTTCTACTTGGAAGATGAGGTAGAGGGAGCAAAAGGGCAGCGATGGGGCTTTTCCTGGTTCACAGCAATTCTTCCCAATTACATTTGGTGTTATAGAGGCAGAAGGAGAGGTCTCATGCAATAATCATCTAGCACGACCAACAACAAAAAATTACCTGGTTATCACAGTAGCCCTTCCATCCCACCCCACCCCTCAGCCAAAGCCCTAAAAAGTAACTGCACCCCCCATTTGCAACTCCTATCTCACAAGATACTTCCTTCACTGAACGCCTCACAATACCACCTGGCTTCAGCTCACTCCAAAATAATAACATAATCAGAATTTCCAACCTGTATGTCAAATGTTCATGCTTCCCTCACTTTTCAGGTTGCATTTAGAGTCCCTTTACAGGGTTTTCAAGATGCAGCAAAATAAATTTTCTTGTGTGTATTTAAAAAGAAGGATTTGTGTAGCAACTATAAGGGGGACAGGATCCCCAGAGAAAGAACAAAAGACTCAAAAGGAGAACCCAGGTGAAAAGAACAAAGAAGTGGACAAAATTCACATAATACTAGATTAAAATTATGCTCATGTGTTTATATAATACTATCTACTGAAATCCCTAGATCCTATAGGCTTTTTGATTACCAAGAAAAAGTTATTGCAATGCTGTAAATCATTTATTCAGTTCACTGATGTGTTGGAAGATATTGATGTATTCACAATATTTACATAATTAATTTTGTATCCTAGGATAGCACATTGGTTATGAAGTCCAAAAATAATGACCGTGTCCTCCAGTTTTTTTGTGAGCCACCATTTTAACCTGGTTCACAGCACCATTCCTCACTGTGTGGTACTCATAATGCTTTCCAGCACTGCAATACAATTTTCTCAGATATCAACAAATTACGTCTTTCTCAGCCTGTGACTTTCAATAACTTAGAGATCGATCCTAATAAAATAGACTAGATATAAACTGAAGAGTCTTTGAATAAAAGCAAGGAGTCCCCCTCTGTGTCCAATGTCTCCAGGAATCCTTAATCTGTGTGGGGACTATTTACATTTTTGAGATTTTTTAAAAATCTGAGGCTTAAATGACTCACTGAAATACACAAGGAAAAAATTCTTCATAAGGAGACATTTTGGCTTAGTCCACACACTAGAAAGTGTGTGCCAGTTTAGCTATAGTCTCCTTGTGTAGCTGAACTTTTTACTGGTGTAAAAGTGTTTTGGCAGCATATTTTACACTAGTTCCCCAAACAAAATAAGCTATACCAGAAAGCACATTTTTGCAGATATAACTGTGTCTACACTAGGGCTTTTGCTGACATAAATGTTTTTAAAAAAAAAAGTTACACCCCTAACTGATGTTACTATACTGTTAAAAGTTTTAAGTGTAGACCTGACCTTGGAAAAACTACCTTAAAAACTAATCCGAAAATGAACAAGTCTCCTTACAGCTAAGTGAGATTTGGAATATCTTTGACGGTTCTACCTCTTTATTTGCTTCTCTGAAGATATCGGATGAGATCCTTGCCTACTATACTCTTCCTTTTACATTGCATGAAAGGGCTGGAGCACTGTAAAGGGGCCCTAAAAACCTCATAATCTACCATGAGTCCCCTCAGCTCAGGAACTGCAGAGACTGCTGTAAACCAGTCTCCTGAGGACTCCTTTGCAAGCCCTGGCATATGGCCAAGGCTGAGGATGCAAGGGGTGTACTGGGGATGGGACCATAGCACTGCCGAAATTTCAGGGAATGCTGCAACCCACAGGGCAGCCTGCCTGAAATTTGACAGGCCCCATGGTTGTCTAAATTAGAACAGAGATCTCTCCAGTAACCACAACAGCCCAGTATCAGGAGGGTGCTGTCACAGATCAGGGCAATTGAACCTTATTTTCCCTTAATGGTTCAGCAAGGGTACTGATCCTCAGGCTTCTGACTTCCTAGCCATTGCCTTTCTTGGGTGGAGACCCATTATCTCTCTCCTTCCTGACCAGAGTATTTCCCTATCTTCACTGTGTTATCCCCAGCAAACAACGGTCAGCCTAAACAGGCCAACTTGTTTCGTCTTCAGAGACTGATAATAATGTAATTGCCCACATTTATAAGTTATCACACAGTTCTTTATAAGCAAGCATATTTTATTCTTAAGCACTACAGAGAAAACATATTAAAAACAATAAAGAACCTACATGCATACTAATAAGCTTACCCTCCCTTGCCATCTCCACCAGGGCTCTGGTTAGTGTAGTTCTTCCAACCCTTCCCTAAGGATTGGGGCCTTCCATGGACAGGAGGTCCTGTTCCTTTGTTGGAACTGAACCAAAGCCCTGAGTCAGTTCACCACCAGGTTATTTATGGAGTGTCCTTTCTTTGTCTGCTGGTCTCTAGAGAATCCAATTAGAACCTTTGAAGACAGCATGAATAGGTAATCAGACAGACAATGAGTCCCTTCCCCGCAGGGAAGCTTCAAAGAACTGATAACAGCAGTTACATACAATCTTACAATAACACAAACTATTGCATTTTAATACAATGGACCCTAAAAGTATTAG